TTTTATTTAATAGTTTGAGTATATATAGGCAAAATGTTTATAAAACAGCTGAAAATAATCTTATTTCAAAGGGAACATAATTTTGACGACAGTTTTAATTGAGCTAAATTCGTCTAGGAAGTAAAAAAGCTTTTTTTGTAACATAGGAATAATATTATCAATGTTAAGATATTTTTGTTTTAATGTTAAAACCCGTACTAAAAATTTATTAAATATTTTTGCATTTTATAAATCATTTTTTTGCGGCAGCTGTTTGTAATTCTTAATTAATTTCCCCTTAGTCTTTTGCTAGCATAGGATACATTTTGTTATTCATATTAAATCTTGATACATTTTCATCTATTTTTTTTATTGTGTTCATTGAGTAAATTTATAGAAATAATTAAAGCTTGTAAGGAAATAACGGCATGTGATGAATTTTATTAAAAATCATGGTACAAGGGCATTATATATCAACGTTCTCGAGAGTTATCAGTGTATATCCATCCAGATATATATTCAGGAAGATAAACAGCGCGCGTTGCGGCTGTCCAAGTTATGGATGAGCAGAAAAAGAGGCGGAGAAGTTAAGGGAGGGGTCTTGGCCCGCAGCACAAATCAATTGGATTAGAAAATTGTCAACGAAAATGTCGAGGGGGGGAGGTCCTTTTCCTGTGTGTGTGGGCGTGTGTGGAGTGGGGGTGGAAGGGAGAGGGAGAGGGAATGGAGTGGCAAGGACGCCGGCAAGACGACGCTGAGAATGTTGCAGCTTACATTGATAAATTATGGATAAAGGCGACAACAACAGCAATAACAAATCGAATAAATATTTATGAAACTAATGAAATGACATCAGCGGGACTTGGCCTGTCCTGTATCTGTATCTGTATCTGTAACTATATCTATTTCTATATCTATAAACATTTCTATATTTCTGTAGCTGTTTCTGTGAGTATCTGTGTGTGTACGTTTGGGTATGTTAATCTGTGTGAAGGACGCACCTTGCGGAACGAGGCAACAGAATGATAATGACTCTGCCACGGGGATGATATTTTGATGGGGCTTATGATGATGTCGGCCCCGTATAGACTAGAAAAACCTTTTAGAATGTTAATGACTTATGAGACTTTCTCCTCCATCGCCATGATGTAATTTCTTCGCTGGCTGAAGGAATATTTTTATTGCTCTTGTTCCATTTGACTCAAGGCGAGTCGTTAAAAACACAAGCCATGACAAGGCACGAAAAACTTTTTTGGGCTTGTACCGCATAAGCCTTCAAGCCAACCAAACCAAAAACAAAAAAAAAAAAATAAACAAAAAACAAAAAACAAAAACAAAAGAAGGGATTAAAGCCAGCTAGTTTTATTGGCATAATTAAAATACGGCCTGGCACGCTTTGGCGTTACATTTCTATTATTTACTTATCATAATTGAATGTTTTTTGTGCGTCTCTGTGCATTGCAAATTGCATTCTTTGCCCGGGTCCCAGAACAATTAAATGTCCTTTGTTTCCTAATTGAAATTTATTGAATTTTTGTTGCCCCACAGTTTGTGTGTGTATGTGTGTGTGTGCGTTCAATTGTGTGTTTGTGCGTGGCTCCGAGCGTTTTATTTAATTAATTTGGCTGCGTTTTAATGTTAACTAAACACGCAAAATCGCTTCGCAACCTCAAAATGCTATCAAGTCAAGGAAAAACGTGGCAAAATGGGGAAAATCAAAGCCAACTGGCAATAAAATAAAGCCAATTAAAACCCTTTCGGTTGGTGGAAGAAATATGCTTTAATGAATTAGACAAATGAGACTATTTCATCTAAGTTTTCATTCAAAAATGTAAAAACCTGTTCTAAAAAGTGTATATCAAGAAGGCATTTAAAAAAACATCCCATTATTAATTTCACCTTTTGTGTACCCATTGTGAGTAATTACCTTCCTCCAATCACCAATCGCCCAATTGCAGCTAGTTGTTGTGATTATTATAGTGTGTATCTGGAAATAAGCTGGGTATGCACAACTAGATTGTGTTGCGCTAGAAATTTACTTCCCATTTTGTATTTAAATAATGATTTTTAAGTCGAAAGACTTATTTTAAGTGTATTCCCGGTATATTCCGGATTTTAAATGAAGACCATAGACAAGTTTTCTTTTTTGCCAAGTGTATTTTTGTAAGTGTCTCTGTGTTTACAAATAATTGTGCCGGACACGAAGAGCAGGGACAAGATCCAACAGAATTGTGGAGGGTGGGATGGCTTAAGTTTTAGTGGTGCAGCTCAGTAGTTGACTCCAGTATTCTCCCTGTCGGACATCTGTTTTTTGAACTTTCAAGTGCTTGCCATCTGGAATACAATATATATAAATGTAAAGTATTTTAATAAATAATTGTTTGGTTACTACTCACCATTTGTCCAGTCGATAATTGATTGAGAACTGAACTGCACTGCAAGATACGGTTGATCCTCCACTCAACTTGTTTGCCATTCGGTTTAAGTGTTTAACAGGGAATTTGAAGTCTACGATCTCGAGCCAGAAGAAAATATCAATATCATTCAGTCAGCAAGCTTTGAAATTTAATTCATATATTTAACATAGCAAGAAAAAGTTGCGTTAATATTATTTACTTACTCCATTGTTAACCACGTGTTTTGTCCAATCTCGTTCTATGTCCTTTAGCAAGCATTTGTTTGTTGGGTTTTGTTTATTAAGAAAGTGTTTTTCAAAAAAGTTATTTAACACTTTATGCTTAAAACTAAATTTGTTTTTTTTTGTATTGTTCAGAAGGCAATTTCCTGTGTGTTATTTCCCCGACATGGTTGTGTATACTGAACTCTCTAGGGACTGATGGGTGTAAGTAGAACTCGAAATTAAAAGCATGGATAGTTTGATCAAGAAAAAGGGAACAAATTTGAAATTTTCAGAAAATGAAAAGCCGATTGGATCAGAATATGATGAGGACATGATTAGTCCATGTAGAATTTTCGAAGTCCTTTTATATGAAACCCATATCAATAAATACACTTAATTTGCTTTCACATAACTATAAAACAAGAAAGGGAACAGGCTTAAAATGCGATTCTGAAACTTCTTCAAACCCTATGGTATCTCCTAGTCGAGTCTACCCAACTTCCAAGGATAGCAACCTGTTGCTGCTGACTGGATGATATTGTTGTAATACTGGGCAGAGCCCCGGGGCAGTCTTTATTTTCTTGGGTTTCGCCTCTTGTTTTCCCGCTCTCTGGTTGAGGCTGCCACTTAATTTATTTGTCACCGAACCGAAGCGCAAATGAAGTTCGAAAAAACCCGACATGCAAAGGCATTCGAGAAAAGTCAACAACGACCACGGAATCGTTTGAAATAATATGAGAGGGGAGGAAAAGAGGAAGGCAGCCGCAAAAAAGCTGAAGAAATAATTACAAATTAAAATGAAACACGGAATGGGACAGACAGACAGACATTCACATGAGGAAGAGTCGGGCTCTGAAATGATGATATAGGGGGCATTTGGGGGGCCGGAGTTTTACCAAGTTTATAAATAGCTGCGTTGACGACGCCGCTGGCCACGCATGCGCAAAGATGTGTCATAATTGATAAACGACAACAGCAACATTCAAGACTCCTCCATTCAAAAACAAAAATAATAATAATAAATAAATAAAAAAAAACAGGGAAAAAATGACAAGACAGTCATCGAAGTGGCCATTTTTTAGGGGTGGACCACGTCGATCCTAAGATTCCCGTTCACAGTTCTCATGCCCGTGACAGTGGCAGTGACTGTGATCACGCCTCGACGAACACACAAATCGAAGCTACTGTATATTTTTAATCATGAACTTCAGGATGGGGAGGTCGTATTTGGTCTCATAAAAGGTCAAAAGTTCAAGTTCTTTAAGAATAGTATACGTTTGAAAATATTAAATACAAGCTTGTGCAAGAAAACCATAAAATTATTTTTTTCCAGAAGACAATAAGTTCTTTTTAATGAAATATTTACATAAAATTGCTTATAGTTAACAGACAAAATATTCTATAATTGAGAAATACTGTTTAGCAAGACAAAATTTATTTTACAATCCATAAATAGGAATAACTGAAATAAGCCCTATGACACTTTAATTCCATTTAACTTCTCTTAATTTACTTACCTTAAAGATTAATCAAGGTATTTCAAAATACATATGCCAGAAGTCATGTAAAGATTTAAATACACTAAGTAACATATAATCAGAAAACGACTCAACCCAAATGAATAAATTACTGAATAAAATCCCCAAATCACAATCGATCTTCGCACAGATGCTCGTCCTCCAGATATTTAGATATCCAGATACTTTCAGCAGCTCCCAGACATAAAAATAAAATGAAAATCCGAAATGCAGACACAGGTGACGATGACAATGACAATGACAACTTCAGCAGCCGATTCAGCTGGAATCGCGGCTTTAACTGCAACTTTAGATTCAACTTGAAGTTGAAGCTGAAGCTGAAGTTGAACGATGACGCCAAATTGGCAACGCGTTTCTGTTCTTTTTTTCCCCGCTTTTTTTGTGGTCCGAACGTGAGATCCAATTGCTATGTATGGCGACCAGTCCTGTCCTCCGGTTGAAGGTCCGTTGGCCAGAGCGAGAGATATAACCCATAAATATTTTAATGTGATTACATTTTAAAAACAACGAGGCAACTGGCACGAAATCATCGAATGGGAGAAATCACTGGTCCAATCTGCGTACTTGGTATTGCGATCGGAATTGGAATCGGAGAATCGGGGAATCGGGGATCCAGGATACCGGGATCCCAAAGAGCACTGATGATGAGCTACTACGCCGGCACTGGGCGACACTGACGACATTTTTCGAATTACATTGACAAGCGGGGATGGGACTAAAAGCGATAATTATTGCCAACTCGCGGCGCTGTAAGTGTTGGCGATCGCGGCAGCGTTTGTTGCTGCTTTTTGCTTATAATTTACTTGTATTCCTTGGATATCCTAGATTTTATATAAAGACCATAGACGAAAGTTTACTTATTGCCAAGTGTATTTTTGTTAGTGTCTTCGTGTTTACAAATAAAAGAGCCGGACACGAAGAGCAGGGACAAGATCCAATAGAGTTGAGGGATGGTTTTAGTTTCGGTGGTGCAGCTCAGTGGTTGACTCCAGTATGTATGCAAATACCAAGGAATTCTATGAAGAGATGGCCAATCATCCTTGCCTTCTGGAATACAAAATATATAAAAATAAAGTGTTTTAATAAAAAATTGTTTGGTTACTACTCACCATTTTTCAAGTCGTTAATTGATTGAGAACTGAACTGCACTGCACTGCAAGATACGGTTGATCCTCCTCTTAACTTGTTTGCCATTCAGTTAAGGTATTTAACAGGGAATTTGAATTATATTCTACCTTCTCACTTTTGTCTTCATTGTTTTCCAGTCTTTTTATGATCGTTCCATATAGCTAGCGTAAAGTGTCAACTGGCATCGCGTTTAGTCAGCTAACTTTGAAATTTATTTGATATCTTACATAGTCAGTAAAAGTTGGATAAATATTACCTTCATATCCCTGGGCCAGCTGTTAATTTCGGCCTTTTGTTGTCGCTTCTGTCACTGTTTTGTGTATTTTAAGTGTGGGTATAAAAAGACGTGTATAATCAGACGAGTAGAGAAAATTTTTACAAAAATGTCGTAGAGTTGAGCAACATGCGTACAAGAAACTATTTCACTTTATGCTTAAAACTAATTTTTTTTGTTTTTTTTTTGTGTTGCAATTTCCTGTGTGTTATTTCTCCGACATGTTTTTGTATACTGAACTCTGTAGGGACTGATGGGTGTAAGTAGAACCCGAAATTAAAAGCATGGATAGTTTGATCAAGAAAAAGGCAACAATTTTGAATTTTTTAGGAGATGAAAAACCGATTGGATCAGAATATGATGAGGACATGATGAGAAAAGTCCATGTATAATTTTTGAAATCCTTTTATCTGAAAATCATATCACAGGCATTCGAGAAAAGTCAACAACGACCACAAAATCGTTTGAAATAACTCGAGAGGAGAGGAAAAGGCGAAGGCAGCAGCAAAAAAGCTGAAGAAATAATTACAAATTAAAATGAAAGACGGAGTGGGACAGACAGACATCCACTCGAGGGAATATTAAAAATATTATAACACAACTTACAGCAAATTTAATACAATATTTACAGATATCATAAGAACATTTTTTATGGATTGCATTTTACAATTTTACATATAATTTACAAATTAAGTATTAAATGTTGTGTACAATTGCCAGATATTTGATTAAAATTTTTCAGCTTTTATCAGTGTACTAATAAAATAATTGGGAAAAATATGAAAAGTCATAAAATATATGTTTAATTAAAGGCCTTTATAAAAATAAATTTAAAAGTGTTTGTCAGTAAAATAGGAAAGCAGTTGTAAATGTTAAACCCTTTTTTGGTGATTTGCCCTGAGCTAATTTATTTTTCTTTTGCTGCCAGTATATGCCTTCTCATGTGCTACGGTTTGAAATTGATGGGCCAGGTCGTGGCTTTGCCATCGTTTTTTGTAGTAAACATTTAACGGCGTCAACATGACAAAGGATAACGTGGATCTGACTGCAAAAGGTATGGATTTCGGGAGTCAAGGAGTCGCAGTCGGAGTTGAAGTCAATGAGCCGTGACGGGCCAATCGATTGGTCGAGTGCAAGACCGCAAAACGAATTTAAGACCCAAAAGCAAGTGTGCTCTAGGTTCAAGTTGAGGTATCGGGTACCGTTGAATTACTTGCGAGGGGGGTGGCGAGGGTGTGTTGAGGGTATAAATGGATGTCCGTGTCCATGTTGCAAATCAATTTCGCAGGACGACGCCTGACAACTTGCCAACTTGGGGGATTTTTGGGAAGAACGGGACGCTCAGCGACGTAGATAGGCCGGCATCAAGTCAAGTCGGCCATCCATCAAAAGCATTCGGCGCCCGAAGCGTTAATCGTTGTCAAAACCTGATAAAGACTGATTGAGTGCTTAATGGCATGGTTGGGCGCCAAAATCGAACGCCGGCCGCACGGACGTTGTATGATAATCAAGTTGATGTCCTCTCGCAAATAGAAAGTATATCTCGGCGGGGTCCGCGACGGAGGATCTAAATCGTAAGATGGTCGATGGTCGATGGTCGTTGCTAAATGGTAGATGCTAGATGGTAGATGGTTGTAGATGAGGGTACGGCGCGGTTCTAGGTGAGTTGCCCAACTGCTGACAGCCCTGATGAAGATTGAACAGCAGCCAGTTCCTGCTCCAGCTACAGCTACAGCTACAGCTTCAGCTCCTGCTGATTCACTTTGAGCCCGGCCCGCTTTGCTTAAAGCCAAATATTTGCTGGTTATGAAGGCAAAACAGTTTGTGTAACAGAAGAGATGCAGCCGGAACGCCATCAGAAGATAAACAGCGCAAAAGTAAGTTTGTAATCACTCGTACTCATATCTTGCAGAGATATTTTAATCTTAAAATATGGAGTGCACTTGCTGGAACCAACAATTTATTGGTATACCTAATTTTAAATATTTTTATTTCATAAAGATAAATCGTTGGTAATTATAACAAAAAAAGTGGATTTAAATGCAATTTTTTTGGCTTTGAATAATTAAAACTTATTTTAATTTAATAATTTCCCAAAAATACCTAGCACATTTAAGTCACAAACTGTGTTTGTGTATCTGATGACCCAATTTAGAAATGCTCATTATTTTGCGAAAACATTTTATTTTTTTTCCAATTTTCGCATTTTTCATAGGGAGCTTCTCACCATTTTTTTTTTTTGGGAAAATGGGCGAATATAGAAATGTCCGGTTTTGAATACTGACTGTCTTGCAATTTTAATACGAACTGAATTCGTTATTGTAGTCAATATCATTTGGCGAACATATTTATTGCAAAATAGGAATAAGGACTTTTAGCAAAACAAATAATTTTAACATAGTTAAAATTAGAAACGCAGCTAAAGGTGTGATTTAAACAATCAAGCTACTAAACTTATTCAATAATCCGTTTTACGTTTTTTTTTTTTTTTTTGCAAAATTGTTTTAAAACTAGAAATGTCGAGGCTTGAGTGTCAATTGGTTTATCAGATTTCATAATTGGACCATTATTTACTCTTTTGTGGCCAAAAGTACATATAATTGTTTTAGTTGTTTTTTTTTTTGTCGCAGGAACTATTTCATATTTGCAGAGAGAAAATACAAGTAACAGCAATGAACACTACTGTGATATCATGAACAAAAAATGTAAATGTTCGAAATTGTATTTTCAATTTTAGATTTATCGTTTTTTCTCAGTGCCCCCGTTTGGGATTGCCAAGAGAGCAGAGCTTATCTGGACTATATATATCTCCTACTGATGTACCAACGATTTTGGCCCTTGACCCCCGGATTCCCTGAATAATACCGCCAGCGGAGTTTGTTTTTGTTTTTCGTCCGCTTTTTCTTTTTCGGCTTTTCAATTGCAGTGGGAAAAGTATTTGCATATGGCGCTGTGTGGGTTTGCATTAGAAAATGGCTGTCCTGTATCTGTGTGTGTGTGTGTGTGTGTGTTGTGTGTGTGTTGTGTGTGTGTGTATTTTTGTGTGTGTGTTGGACGCCTTAAGCGGCTGCTGGTGAAAAGCGGCAGCACTTGGCACTTGGCACAGGGCAAATGCTGAATTTTCCCTGCTGTTTACAGTGCAGCGAAAGATGGGAAAATGTGTTAGCGCAAATAAAAACGTGCTCCACACATACACATACACACACACTCGCACACGCATACGCACTTACACAAGCAAACATTGCCAAACAAACATGCAGTTTATTTTAAGCAACTCACAGGACTTTTGTTTAAAATGGAAAAACTGTAGCTATTTTTTTTTTGGCAAGCTTTTATATCTGAAAGTGAGCTTTTTGCTTACAGCTAAATAATTTAAATTTATATCACATATTTGGAAATATTTTCTTTTAAGCTAAATGTATAATTTATTTATTGGGCTTTTGCATTTATTTACCAAATCATGTTAACTTATGTTAGGTATTTCTGCCATTCTGGATTCATAATTTCGAATCCAAATCCAAATCCCAATTCCAATCCGAAGAGAGGAGGCCACTTGACTGCCCAATCAATTTATGGTAATCAATTTCAATAAACAATAAACAATCAATATGTCATGTGCAATGTGCAATGTGCAATGTGCAGCGTTCCATTCATCCATTTATGTATGTGGCTGGACTCCAGCCGGGCACATTGCTTTTTAAAGTACTCCCGTTCCTATGCTCCTCCTCATCCATATCCTTATCCTTATCCCTATGCTGCTCCTTATCCTGATCCCGATCCTCATCCTGCTTCTCCTATGTCTATTATAAACCAGCTCCTTCAGCACTCGCTGCAGGCCTCAAAATGTTCCATTTTCCACTTAAATGGCAGGCAGCAAGTCAGAAATTTATGCATGTCCACTTGCTCTTAACGCCCCCAGTTTCCCCACACCCCAAATTTACACACCCACACACACACGCACGGAAAACTCCTATCTATCCGTGTATCTGTGTGTGCAGTTATAGCTGCAATCATAGATTTCGAGCTGAACAATTCACGTCAACTGCAGTCGGATTTTGAAGAGCAGTTGCTGTGGAATGGCATGAGTTGGAGTTGGATTTGGCTTGGTTTCGGGTTTCAAAATGCTACGGGGAGGTGAGGTTCTGCCAGGACCACTGGACGGAGGTCGGTTGAGGAGCTGGTCCGGTTGGGTCCGGTCCGGTAAGGTGTTGAAAATGCCAGCACGCTTGCAATCAAAGCGAACAAACACTGCAAAAAATATTGGGTTTGAAAACTTCTCCAATTGTCTCATATGTCTTAACATTATAATTTAATTTACATGTCGTCAAAATGTATTATTTCAATATTCAAACTAAGCCGGCAACTTTCAAATAATATTCTTGAGCTCAAATAAAGTTGAATTTATAAAACGATATCCTTAAAGTAGGTAAAAAACATATTGGTGTATTTGTTTTATATTTTATATACACTAAGAATATAAAATTAATTACACATGGAACTTAACTAATAAATAACTTTATTCTGGAGCCAATATATTGATGTTTTTTAAATTAAGTATACTGCACAATTTTAAAGAACCATTGAGCTTAAAACGTACAAGTAGCTTATCATTACAACGGCACAACATTAATAAAAATAAATATAAATAAACATTTTTTTTAAGGTACCTCTTGCTGCAAGCCTTTGAAAACTTGAAAAAGCAAACTGAAAAGATCAACAATTGTAATACAGATCATTGAAGATTTAAACAAAAAACATTTTTGAGTTACAATTTACAAACATACATATGTGCTTTAAAAAATTATCTGCTGAAAAATTATGAAGAACGAACAATTTAACCCAAATACTTGAACCTCTAACGTTTTCCTGACATTGCCATTGAACTTAAGTTATTACTCCAACTTGACCACCGTTCAAGACTTGGCAAACTGAATTTTCCGAGTGCAGCCCCTCCGTTTTGCGACCACTTTGGCCTGGCTGGCGATCCGAATGGTACTCTGACCGATGCACTGATGTGGAGCACCACCTCCCAAGGGAAGCCTCAGCTGGACTCCAAACTCTGGTGGCGATTCGGGCATTGTTCGTCGGGGATTCGAATCGCAGGCGCAGAGCTCAGTTTAGTTGGCCTAGGTAAATACATCATTAAACATGTAAGGCAAATGCATTGTCAACAGCAACTGCAGCACTAATCGAGTTGTGCTGTTTCTCTTCTTGTTGTTGTTGTTGTTGGCAGG